TCCCTGGTTCTCTCTCCCTTTTTGTTCCCAGACTCATGGAGCTCCTGCTGGTTTGGACTATTCAGAACATTGGGACTGATAAATTATCTGAGAGAACTAGAGATTAATCCAGCCTCAGGGGACCGGGAAGCCACCAACTCTGGGATCAACTGGATCCCCAACTCCTTTGCAAAGCTTGGAGAAGGTGGTAGAGTTTGGGGATAGATTTTAAGACATTGAGTTAGAATGTTATGGGCCTTGCTTTGATTACGGAAGCCTGTCCCCTTTGCCAAGATGTGATTTCCTGTGGAATTATTTCTCATTTTGAGCATCCAACCTTCTTCCAGATGCCTTTGCAAAAGAGCCCACTTTCCAGATGGCAAGGGATGGGGAGAGCACCCATGGGCCCTCCTCAGGAGCAGCCCTGTGCCCTGCCATCCCTGCTGCTGTCACTCAGCATTAGTCTTGCTGGTCTTTGAGCGAGGTAGTATCTAGTGTTGAAAAAGTGCCTGAGGATGGACCAGGGCCAGACATGTCTGAGTGTAGCATGTCAGCAGGGCTGTTCCAGTACCGAATGGCATTGGGCTCCTGGTGGTGGTAAGTCACTCACCTGCCTGCGCCTTGGGAGCGAGAAGAAAGACCATAAGAAGCAGAAGTGGCTGCATCTCCTCAGGAAGCTGCCCAGGTCAGAGCTGTTGGTGCTTCCTCCTGGTCTTCTGAGCCCAGGGTTCTCTAGTGTTGTGGCCTTTATCACATCCGGCCCTCTCTGAGTGCATCACACCGTGGTGTTGTCAAGTTCTTGGGCAATGTGGTTACATGTGAAGGAGGAAGAGGAAATTACATTCAGATAAAAGTCAACACTGTCAGTTACACTTGTGTTCAGGTATCAGAAGCTGTATTATGTTCACTGTACATTCCCAATGCCTGGCACTTGTTCATTGATTGGTAGAAAAACTGTGCTTTCCATTCCTAGTGCAGAGAGCAGCTCTTTCTAACTCAAAAGGCAGGTAGAACCCATGGTGGCGAGCACGCAGCCTGAGCCTTGAGGCCAGCAGTGAGGAACAGGCTGCAGGGAATTAAGGCTCTTCAGTGGACTCTGAGCACATGGTGGGGACATTGGGCTGGATGTGAGGGTGGAGCTGGCTCTGCCCAGTGAGAGATGGGACCAGGTGTTCTGCAGACACCCTGCCGCCCTGCATGGGGCCAACACAGTCCTGGTCCCCTGGTCATCCTGTGTCTGGGCATAAGCTGGGTGACAACTCAGTGACTAGCCCTGCTGGAACCTGGGCATTCTGGGTGTCCTAGGTGGGAGGGATATGCAGAAGTGGGAGCTCAGACCAGTGTGATCAGTAGGGCACAGGGTTGGTGGACTCTGAGGATGCTCAGTGGTCAGCAGGGATGTGAAGAAGGGGCAGCCAGGAGACTGGAGGCCAAGCTAGGCCCTGAGCTCAGAGGAGGGCAGAAAAGGGCAGGGAGAGAAATTCAGCCCAGGAGGGAATGAGGAGCTTCTCAGGACTTCCCTCCCTCCTCCACCCCTGTCTCTCCTCACCAGCCCCCAGACCCCACCCCTGCCACCCCCTGGTTGCTGGAGAACAATGTCCTGCTCAGGAGGGCCCTCCTCTCCCATGTGCGGTGGGGCCTCCTGAGCTGCAGCCCCG